AGTCTGGCTGTGGGAGAGATGGCACAGCTCCCCAGGTGCCACCGAGTGGTACTTCATGCAAGGCTCTGGCAGCGTGCAGCTAAGACACTGAGCACACTGGAGACTGTTTCCTGTTTACATCCCCATCTTACCAGCAGTGGTCTTTCCCTCTGGTGATCTCCTGGGCCCCGTCAAGTGTAATAAGAATGAGATTTTAGACCAGGAGGGCACATAGGCATCCCAGGTACAAACCCAGAGGTGTAGGGAGGCACAACCAGAGGGGCAACTTGACCCGGCCAGTGCTCCCACCACCCTGGGGCTTGCTACTGGGGTGGACAGAATGCCATGGGAAGAAGCCTTTCCCAGGCACAACCACCCACTTGTGCTTTTTCAGAAGTGCAACACAGCACGATTGCAGTCACTCACAAGCCACAGGGTATGTAGCAACATTCTGGTTTCTGCCCCGGTATGTCTCCGTGCCATGCTGCTGACAAGCCTAGCTAAGCTGACTGTGCTGCTGGGCCTCCGAAACAGTGATGTTCAGAGAAGAGGGCTCCTGCGTGGATAAAAATGGATCTCAGTTCAGAATGTCACAAGTGGTGGCTTTTACCCTTTATGTTACAATACTGGCCCCTGCTTGTTTTTTTCATTTATCCATTTTCTCCCAACTGTAATTGTGATATGGATACTTTCAAAAGTCCACCAAAGTACCTAAGTTGATAAATTTGGAGAACCAAGCCATACCTGAGGATAAGGAGCGAGGCCTACTTACCTAGTCTAGCAGGTACTGTCGCAGGAGCATATGCAGAGCAGAAACACATATACTCTTTGTATTTAAAAGAAGTTTATGATTTTCATCTACTTGAAAGATGTCTTTCCGTTGTTCTCTGATTCTTTTTTATTTATTTGTTTTTGTAGGAAAGGTAAAATTACAAAGAGAATAAGAGAAAGAGAAAAAGTCTTCTGTCCGATGATTCATTCCCCAAGTGGCCACAATGGCCAGAGCTGAGCCAATGCAAAAACAGGAGCCAGGAGCTTCTTCCAGGCTTCCCACATGGGTTCAGGGTCCAAGGACCTTGCACCATTCTCTCCTGCTTTCCCAGGTCACAGGCATCTGGGAGCTGGATGGGAAGTGAAGCAGCTGGGACACAAATTGGTGCTCATATGGGATCCCACACTTGCAAGTCACTAGCCACGAGGCTATTTGTAACCCTTTCAAAAAAAATGAATAGATTAAAAAAAACCAAAACAGGGCCTGGCGGCATGCCCTAGCAGCTAAAGTCTTCGCCTTGAACACCCCGCAATCCCATATGGGCGCCAGTTCTAATCCCCGGCAGCTCCACTTCCCATCCAGCTCCCTGCTTGTGGCCTGGGAAAGCAGTCAAGGATGGCCCAAAGCTTTGGGACCTTGCACCCGTGTGGGGACCCGGAAGAAGTTCCTGGATCCTGGCTTTGGATCGGCATAGCATCGGCCATTGCGCTCACTTGGGGAGTGAATCATCGGACGGAAGATCTTCCTCTCTGTTTCTCCTCCTCTCTGTATATCTGACTTTCCAATAAATAAATAAATCTTTAAAAAATAAAAATTAAAATTAAAAAAAAAATGTTAACTGTGAGTAAAATAATTTTGGAATCAGAACTCAGTTCCTGAACTCACTCCCTATTTTCTATCTTCTTTTGCATCGAAGAACGATTGAACATAGCACCTAGGCAGGCATTCGCTGTAGTGCAGCAAGTTAAACCACTGCTTGGGATGTTCACACCTCATATTTGCCTGGAATCAAGTCCCACCTCTACTTCAACCCAGCTCCATCTTTGTGCCTGAGAGGCCAGAGTGCCTGGTTTCCCAGAGCTCATGTGGAAGGCCTGGAGGGAACTGCAGGCTCCTAGCTGCTGTCTGATCCAGCCCATGGCTCTTGTGTGAAGTTGAGGAGTGAACCAGCAGATGGAAATCTTCCTCTTTCTCTGTCACTGTGCCTTTCAAATAAGCAAATTTTTTTTTAAAAAAAAAAGTAATTCAAGGGCCCGGCACGGTGGCCTAGCACCTAAAGTCCTTGCCTTGAATACACAAGGATACATATGGGTGCCAGTTCTAGTCCTGACAGCTCCACTTCCCATCCAGCTCCCTGCTTTTGGCCTGAGAAAGCAGTAGAGGACAAACCAAACCCTTGGGACCCTGCATCTATGTGGGAGACCTGGAGGAAATTCCTGGCTCCTGGCTCCTGGCTCCGGATCGGCACAGCACCGGCTGTTGTGCTCACTTGGGGACTGACTCATTGGATGGAAGATCTTTCTCTCTGTGTCTCCTCTTTTCTGTATATCTGACTTTGTAATAAAAATCAATAAATCTTTTTTAAAAAAAGTAATTCAAATAGAAATTGAAGGCTCCATGGCTGGTTGTTAGAATATATAAATAATCTTTTTTTTTTCCAAAATGATTCTCCCAGATTTTTCAAAAAAAAAAAAAGCACTGAACACATTTTTATTTGTGGTTTTTTTGTTTGTTTGTTTGTTTGTTTTCTGCAGGAATCACATGGTGGGGCTCATCTTCTCATTTGTACATCCCAGTTGTAAATCTTGTATCTGTGCATTTGTGGCCCACAAAGATGCTCCCCCAGGCCCACCAGCCATGGAGGACGTCTACCTTAACTGTGCACAAATGGCGACCCCGTGCAATAACCTCAGGCGCACATTCTAGGGCTGCCTCTGGCATGGCCCTCAATCCCTATATATAGTTCCAGGATTTCTCGGTGTTGAATGGCAGGTTTCATTCTCATTGATAATAGCAGTGTTGTCCCAAAGGCAATTCCAGTGGGAGTCATTATTTTGTGCCATGCCATGGCAATCCCCTTCCCTTTTCATTTTGCTGACACTGTTTAAGAGGATTTAAAGTCAAGTATGATTGTAATAGATAATTTATTTATTTCTTTGAAAGGCAGAGTTACAGAGAGAAAGAGGAGGAAAGACACACAGAGGTCTTCATCGGCTGGTTCATTCCTCAGATGACTGCAACAGTGGACAAAAGCCAGGGGACAGGAGCTTCGTCCAGGACCCCCACCGCAGGTCTGGCTGGCTAACAGAGACTCAGGCACTGGGGCCATCTTCTGCTGCTTTTGCAGGCACAGCAGGGAGCTGAGTTAGAAACAAAGCAGCTGAGATTCACACTGGCAGTCTGATATGGGATACTGGCAACGCAAGAGGTGGCTGAACGTGCAACACCACAATGCTGGGCCCTCGTCTTTACTGATAGACACTTAACTCATTAAACATAAACAGCGGGGCAAGGTACAAGTGCGTGGCTGGTAACCTGCAAGGCCATTTTAGCCAAGAGCAAGAGCAGCTCAAGTTGGAGCTGTCATTCAAAAGGAGGGCAGATGGCCCCTAGGCCTGGACACTCAGACCCCGGCTGCTGGTCACTGGCTGTGGGGCTGGCGCCCTGAGGCAGGCTGAACACATCTAGATGATCTGTCTACAGCTCCTTCCTCAGCTAACTCACCGACAGAATCTTTCCTGCTTTGTCTTTTTGGTCATTAAGTGATTTCAAGTTCCTGGTTGGGATTGAAATGTTGGCAAGAGAGTTAGAAACAGAAGAGAGGAGGAAGACAGTTAATCTGCCTCTTTCTTCTTCATAAAGCAATTTTTCTAACAGATGCAATTACATTTGAGGGCTGCAGAGAACAGAGTCTGATGTTTTATTTCTTGATTCATTATTTCACAAATGGGATTCGCTGTAAGGAGGAAAATTATCTTTGTCGTTCCTTTCAGCTCTGGACTCAGCTTCGTTTTCAACAGCAGCTGCTGCCACCTTGGATCTGATGGGTGAGGAGTAGCTCGCAAGGGAGGCGAAGGAATCAGGATACAGAGCACGGAAATTCAATATATCTTTATTCTTTGTAAATACAATGAGTGACAACCTTCTGACTTCACCAATCCGTTAATCCGCTTTGTACAAGAGAACTTTTTAACACATCCTATGACAGTCCAAGTGCTCGAGTTTTAGCCTTGGGGCTAGTACCTAAGAAATCAAAAATGTGAAAAGTACAGCAGCTATTTAAAACTGTTGGCTTCTACGTTTCCAAAGGATAGATCCGTTTCGAAGGAGCAGCTTACAGTGTAAGTGTGCGTGTGTGTGTGTGTGTGTGTGTGTGTGTGTGTGCACTCAAGGCTTTACTAAGAAACCAGAGTTTCCCGAAAGGTATCTTAGTCTCAGGCTTATTAGCAACAGGTCCACCTTGAAGTTCCTCCCAGCATGTGCCCATGATGGGTCTGGTGTGACTCCCTGAACCCCGAGTGCTGGGCCCTACCTGCCTTTGGTGTCAGCACTGGGTTAGCAGGAGAGCAGTCCCCTTCTCTCCATCACTCAGCTCCACTTTATTTGGTTTGGCTATTTTTTTTATCCACCCTCCCTCAGCTCATGTTCTCATCATAAAGCTTATCGAGTTCTGAGATGTTATCCAACCTGAAGTCCTGGTCCACTAAGTTCTTTGACAAGGTTGCCTGGCCTATGGTATTTTTAAAATAGCAATAGAAATAGGGGGAAAATGAGGTGAGAAAGAACAAAGGGAAAAAGGAAGAAAGAAAAATGAAGAGAAAATGCCAATCACACAGCATAAGCTACTTTTCATTCATTAACTTTGTTCCGAAGGCCACTTGATGATGTATAGCAATGCATGGGAACTTTTTAAACGGTAACTGAAACTCCAACCATTATTTTTAGGATAAGTGCTCCAATAAAACAGTTTGGAGGGCCGCATGACAATGCTGGGCTCAGAGCTCTGTTTAACTGCGTTTGCTAAGAAAGGAAGGAAGGTACTAGCTGGGCCTCACCCTCATATTCCAGGGAAGAGGCAGAACTGCGCAGCCTGGGACGACCCCACTGGACCCCTCCCAGGGCAGGGCAACAGGTGATCCCACTGCTCCTCCCTTTCCTTCCCAGGCCGCAGGTGGCAGCTACGTGCAACGGCTTTGTGTCAGCTGGCATCTGGTCCTGAAGGCTATGCATTCCCGGGTGTGTTAGTTGAGGCTTGCTCTCCACGGGTACAAGTCCATCTGATGCACTCCTCAGACTGCCAAGCGGGAGCTTAGATATCACTGGACTTGTACATGTCTGACAGCAGTCTTGTAATCGGCACGTTGCCGATGGTTTTTTTGAAAAACACCTCTTCTATGGTTGATGGGCTAATGGAACGTAGAGCCGGCAAGAGCAGCAGTAGTTTTCCAAAGCGACAAGGTTGAGTGGGGTACCTGGCATTAGGAGAAACAGTGAAGGCAAGGTCAGAGTCCATTATTACCAAAGAGAAACAACTTCCTATGATGGGATGCACATCACCCCCAGAATACTTTCCTGATTTGGGCATCTTGAATTGAAATGGGCAGTGAAGCCCTGGACAAGCACGAGTGTCCATGTTTTGTACACAGATAACTGGCGACCTGGAGAACATTAACTGTGGTACCAAATGCACACGGTGACTCTCTCTTGCACATGCTCTATCTCTGTTATAAAAAGATTACATCTAGTTTGGAGAGAAGAAAACCCCACACCACTAATCTTAAACCAAATAACAAACTTAAGGTTGTCACTATAGAAAAACATCAGGGTGGCTATGACAAATGTAGCAATAGAACCCATCTTTTAAAATTCTCCAGATTCCTTTGCAAGGCTTGTTCCAAAAAAAAAAAAAAAAAAAAAAAAGCCTCCTTTTTTCCAAGCAGTTCTCCAAATGATCATTCAGGGACTACACTTAATCGCTCTCGGGAATAATTCCATCCTTATCACCCTGTAACTAAAGACCCAGTTCTGTTGGGTGGCAAGACCACCCAACTTTTATGTCAATGAAATTGGCATACAATTAAATTTGTGAAAAATTGCTGAACAATTTCCTCTTTTGGTGTCCAAAAGGCATCTGTGCTCATGTGCACCTTCAATTGTCTGTCATCTTCAGGTGCCTGTGCGCCACCTCCTTCCAAGGACCTGCTGCATCCCCAGCCAAGAGCTTGGGGTTGGAAGTTAGTGTACCCTATACTGAACAAACACCTGAAACACCAAGTCCCAGGGACACACCTCTGTGACTAAGCCAGTGTCCATACACGCCAGCAGGTGCCTACATTCCTTCAAAGGAATTTGGAAGTTGTGTTGCACAGGCTGCTAAATCCACCTTACATGCAGACTCTAGAACACCCTTGACCTTGATATTCATCTCTAGCTCTGGGAATGCGAGAATCTCTCTTTTCAAGTGCATATGATGTTTGACATTCATCCTGGGGCTCTGGGAGGGATGGTTGGCTCTCTCACTGCCTTGCATCATGATCACCCATGGACAGGGGCTACCAGCCTACATTTAATCATGTGGTATGGAGGTGGTGAACCGTACCTGCATTTGGAAGAACATATGAAATCTCACCACTTGCTCTCCTTGCTGCAGGCACTTCCTTGTGTTTCCAGAAAAGTCTTCGCAAACCCTACATCTTCTTTATACCCTGGACATTTCCCAGTCTTAACAGCTGTCTCCCTCCCAGGCCCAAGCAGAGAAGAGAGCTACCCCTAGAGTGGGAGGGGAATGGTGCTAGCCCGTACATTGGCTGCCCAAGACTGTTCATCCGTCCTGGGTGAGATTACCTTTCAGAAGGACAGGCTTTGGTGAATCCATAGACAATGAACTCTTGATTTGCTGTGAATCAATGATGACTCATCCACTCACCAACATCTTTCATTCTTTAGTTGCCAGTTACCAAGGATTGCCTGGTACCTGTGGAGCACGGTGCTCCAGACACACTAACAATGTGTGATAGGACAATTGATCACGATAATTTTTAAGAATACCTGTGCCTTGACTTTATCCACCAGCATGGGTAATTGAAAGCTTCTCATCAAGGTTAAGTGTTTCAGGACTAGCACAAAATGGAGTACTCAACCTTCAGTTACACCATAGAGTCTGATTAAAATGTCTGTCCCAGGCCCAGTGCAGTAGCCTAGCAGCTAGTCCTTGCCTTGTACATGCCAGGATCCCACATGGGCACCAGTTCTAATCCTGGTGGCCCTGCTTCCCATCCAGCTTCCTGCTTGAGGCCTGGGAAAGCAGGTGAGGACAGTCCAAGGCCTTGGGACCCTGCATCTGCATAGGAGACCCAGAAGAGGCTCCTGACTCCTGGCTTCAGATCGGCTCAGCTCTGGCTGTTGCGGTCATTTGGGGAGTGAATCAGCAGATGGAAGATCTTTCTTTCTGTCTCTCCTACTCTCTGTGTATCTGACTTCCTAATAAAAATAAATCTTTATTAAAAAGACTGTCCCTACATTTCTCCTTATGCCCTTAGTTAATTGCAGAAGGAGCTCATAGAGCTGTAACATACAATTAGCTCAGTGCGCATGCTCACATTTCATTTTAGTCCAGGCTGTAATTTTTCTAGCCAGAAAAGTGCTGGAGAAAAGAGCATTCATTGATTGGAAGGAGCTAAGAAAGAAAGCAAAGTAATTTTTGTCACGTGCATGATCAAGACATTTATACATGAATATTGGATTATTGCTGTAGTGGAATTCCACTCCAAAACGGAAATGTTCCTTTCCCAGATAATGTCCTCGTTTAGGGGTAAGGGCAATGTGGCATACCTGCTGGTTCTCTGAGACAGATTGCTGTGAGTATTAGGTGTTTAGCCCAGTGCTTAGGATGCTTGGGTCCCATGTTGGTGCACCCAGAGCTTTATAGTCAGCTCTGGCTCCTAACTCCAACTTCCTGCTGACAGCAGCTCAAGTCGTTGGGCTCCCAACCCTCTGTGGGAGACCTGAGTGGAAATACTTCAGTCTGTGCTAGTCCCCAAACACTTAAACTTGAAGAGAAACCTCCAATTGCTCATGCTAATGAGTGAAGTCAGGGCACAGGCATTCTAAGAAACAATTGTGAGCAGGGGCTGGCATGATGGCTTAGTTAGCTAATCTATCTGCAAGGGCCGGTATCCGATATGGGCATTGATTCATGTGCTGGCTGCTCCACTTCCCATCTAGCTCCCTGCTAGTGACCTGGGAAAGCAGTGTAAGCTGGCTCTGGTTCTTGGACCCTGCACCCACGTGGAAGATTAAGAAGTTGTTTCGGGCTGCTGTCTTTGGATCAGCTTAGCACCAGCTGTTGCAGCCATGTGGGGAGTGAGCCAGCAGATGGAATTCTGCCTCTTTGTCTCTCTTTTTATTTCCAATATAAATAAATAAATTTAAAGATTAATTGTGATCAGTCAGTTTGTCACTCCTTTCTGCCTATAAATTGGACTAGCCCCAGTTATTGAGGCATATGCTTATGAATCAGCAGATGGGAGCACTCTTTCTACATAGTTTCTAACCAAGGTTATAGTTAAGTAAAGCTGACATCTCTCTCTCTACCCATTGATCTGGGGTTGAAATTTGGGTCATCCTATCAGTAGCTCCTGATATGCCAGGCTCCCCAACTCCCATCACCTATCTTCCTGGTACCCCTCATTGCACCTCCACCTGCTCCCCACTGCTTCTGCATTCAGACCTTCTGCCCTGCAGAACCCCTGCCACCGTTCAAGGAGCAACTCACAGACCCCTGCATCAATTGGCCTTTCTGATTTCCCTCACCCTTCACCCCTGCAACTGGAATTGGTATACCATTCTCCACTTTACATTCTTCTCTCTGCTTTGGACTAGACAACATTTCTACCCACTTGGTCCTCTGGTAAGGGGTCAACCCTTGGTTCTTTCTGGCATCTCATGATGCCCTTCTAGTTCTTTGCATGTCACAGGTAGGTACTCAGCAGAATCTGGACTGAATCCATTAACTGCCTTGCCATTCTCTTCTTGTATTGCCACTTATACAGGAATGGCTATGAATATCAACAGTCAGCTATGAAAGGCAAGTTGGTATTTAGTGGGGGAAACAAGTGTCCCAATTATGGACTGCTCCCTTCTTACGATGTTGAACAAATATCAATGGGGCTATAGGCATGTTCTGTACTCAGAGTAGAAAAACATGTATATGTGCACGATCACCCAATAGTCCCAAAGATATCCCATGGGCAGAGAACTGCATTATTCGTTCCATGATCTCAAGAGGCTTTTTGATACAAATGAGACTTAAGAAGCAACGGTATCACGTGCCACAGAGATAGGGACTTGAGATTTCTGAGGGTGCTAAGATGAAAGGAGGTATTAGCACAAGGTGGGGGCTGAAGCCGAGATGATACAGCTGGAAGACATGGGTCCTGTTCAAGATCAATGAAGAGAATAAGCAAGCACAGCCCCCTCTACCCTAACTTCAGATCTACCACAGTCCTGTGGAAGGTTCTGGTGCTGTTCAAAAGCCTGGCTTTCTCTCTCTCTCAACTGAAAATGGAATCAGAAAGTCTATACTTTGCTGGAATCACAGAAATTAAGACTTTCCATGAATAACCAAGGACAGCCTGCCCTGCTTGGCCAGAGTGTGTTGGGTCCTGTCTTGAAAGACCACAATAGACACCAATCACCAGAGCCAAACAGCAGTCAGGACAGAGGTAAAGACAGTTTCTCTGAACATTTCTCTGGTTCCTTAAGTAGTACTGATCCCAATTTGGGTGCAGCTCCACTTCCCATCCAGCTCCCTGCTTGTGGCCAGGGAAAGCAGTCAAGGACGGCCCAAAGCCTTGGGACCCTGCACCCGTGTGGGAGACCCAGAAGAAGGTCCTGACTCCTTGCTTCAGATCAGCTCAACTCCTGCCATTGCAGCACTTGGGGAGTGAATCAGCAGATGGAAGATCTTTCTCTGTCTCTCCTTCTCTCTATACATCTGCTTTTCCAATAAAAAGAAGATAAATATTTAAAAAGAAAAAAGAAGGCAAGAAAAACAGTAAGAAAGAAAAGCACTTGCCTTTTATTTTCAGAGGATATGTGACTACTCTCTAATGTGTCATTCGCAATCCTCTGGCCTTCAAACTTGACCCTTCCCATATCCACTCACACAAATGTATTCTACTGGTTGGGTGAACTGATTTGTTTGGCCAGCACAGCTGTGACATGCCTGCCAATGCTTTCACTGAGGTCCTCTAAACTGATTTACTCCTTCTGCCCACCCTGGGAAATAAGTGAAGCTGTGGATTCTAGGTGAATGGGTTGGCAACAGGATCATCAGTCACAATGTCTGAACTGGCTTGCTACCGCCTGCTCACACATTCACAAGGGAAGCAATTCTCTGAAGTCCATGTTTAAGCCAAGCAAAGGTCACCTGGTATGGATGTAGCTGTTGAGAGTTAGCTGAGCCTCGTCTTGAAGAGCTGCGATGGCGGCAGCATTCCGGAAACTTCTCAGTTCAGAGCCGCTGTGTGTGGGAACTAGAAATGGAGATCAGGAAACGGTGACAGGTAGCACAGGAAACGCTGGAGGCTGCTCCACTCTGGAAGTGGGTGCTCATTAGGGGAATGAACAGGTCCCTATTGCTATCAAAGATGGCGCCGGACCCCTAGGAGTGTCAGCTCCCTCAGGTACCATCATCTCCTTTGGCGAAGGTCAGTCTGGACTTTCAGTGAGGTGACAAAAGTGGGGCAGGAGAAGAGCCAGGGGTCCATGTCTGCTTACCAGCCTTGAAAGTGACGATGCATTTCAGACAGGCAAATTCAGTAGCATCTAACCGGAGTTGTCTAAACCGAGCTACCACCTCTTGCAGAGCCTGTATTTCAGATATGATCTTATTCAGCTTCTGGGAATCTGTATTGTCACCATTCATGCCTAGAATCAGAATAGGAGAGAGATACTTTCCCAGGAAGGCATTTCCATGATTTAATATTGATTTTTGACCAAATTCTGCATATCAAATATCTATTCAATTGTCACTCTAAGATATCTGGTTCCATGTAAACTGGCTATCGTGTATGAAAGTTAATATAAAATCTTCTCTTGGATGATAACAAACACAGTAATTTGCATTTAAATAACAATGCAAGCAGTCATGAATACAACAAAACAACATTATTTGCATTTAAATATAGATTTAGAAATGACAGGTAGACTCTATTGTTCCACAGGAATTTGTTATTCTTGACATGTTGTTCTTTTTTTCAGTAATGTATTTTTATGGTAATTTCTACAACAAAGTCATTAAATGGTGCAATTCTTACCAGATACAGCCAGTAGAGTGTTAGCATCCACCGGGATGGCCCATTGTGCTATTCCTAGAACAAACAGTTCTCTCCAAGCATCTTCCAAAAGCATCAGCTGCCATACAACAGATGTATAATATAATACAGTGTGTCATTTATAGATTTATAAACAATTTCAATAGGTAAATTTCCACTATTTTCAAAAAGTGTTTTGAAATGCTTATCTTGATAAAATTAAATTTTTTTTCCTGAATATTTTGGTTTTCCCTTCTGTTTCTATAGGTTCCATTTTGCAAAGGTGCCTCCAGCCCATACGCAGGCATCTGAATGTCAGCCTTCCCAATTCCCCCCAGATTTGTCAGCCTTCCAGCTCTGCATCTGCCTGGCTGCTGACCACTCAGAGACTTCCTGGTCCTGGGCTCCAGGAACTGCCCTGGCAGGTGGCCTCCTCCCCCTGTGTCAGGGTGAAGGAGGACTGGGGGGCTGGGCTTGGGAAGGGGACCAGGAGAGAGGAGCACTAATTCCCCAAGAGGCAGGCAGGGAAATCAGGCCGTAATTATGGTAATGGGGTGTTGCGGAGTTTACCTCATCTCGCTGCCTGATTTTTCTGACTCATAAGTGGACAACATCAAGGTGCTTGTCATTTTCATCCTAATAAAATGTGGTCCTGAATATTTAAACTGAGAATCTGTCTCATCCACATTAATAGACCGGTTTCCACTTCACTATTGTTTGCTTGTTGTCTAAAGGTTTCCACCAAACGGTTAAGTGGCAGACAAAGTAAATTTTGTTTGGATTAGAGTCCACAAATACTTATTTTTTTAAAAAAAAATAGGCAACTTACACATACACACAGAGAGAGAAGGGCTACAGCCAAGTAAGCTAATCAAAGTAAGACCCAACTACATTGGAAAATCTGTTTTTGAAAAACCTCTCAAAACTCAGCCAATTCTGGATGGTTTTTTTTTTTTTTTTTCCTTTTAGGAGCCGAGAGCTGCATCCTGAAGGCTTGTGAAGAAAATCAGCTTAAGACCTAAAGGTCTTATTTTCAAATGCTTTTAGTTTTATTCCCTTAAGCATAGGAAATAACAATTTCATATGAAAGGTAAATACTGTATCATGCTGGTCATGTCTGCAAGTTCACAACATGAAATGAAAATAATATCTCATGTTGGAGGTTGTAATGTTTCCAGCACGTTGCCTGATCTTTCTGTGGGCAACTGCCTCATCTAAGGGGCACTGCTATGCTTTCCTTGGGACCTGAATAAAGCAGCTGAAGAAGCAAACCCTCTGCTCTTAGAATCATAGAGTAGCCTTTTGGGGGGAAATGTGTCATGAACTTTAGCGAATCTGCTGGTAACAGCCTGCAATGGTGGACATTTCATTTTCCTCTTTTCTCCTTAGGTTAGAAAAAAATGCTGGCAGAGGCCCTGTCTGGGACTCCTCAACAACGAAATGTCTGAATGTTGGTCCAATGCAATTTTTAACTGCACATAATTCTCCTCTCTCTGAATGTCATTTATTAACCACTGCAGAATTATGCAAAATACCCGTGTATTTATGAAGTCTCTAAAAGCCCTTAAAGAATCCAGGCGGATGCTGCTGGGCCACGGGCGCTGTGCAAAGCATCCAGCGATTCCACAGCCCATAGATAAAACTCACAGTTGAGAAGACAGACTGGAGGACGCAAACCAAAGAGACCAAGGTCTGGTGCACGGGCAAGCGCAAAAATCTATTTCTCCTGAGTGCCTTGCTCTTGGAGAAACACTGACTTACAGACCATTGCAAAGATCTTTAGAATAGCAAATTTTGAATAAAATTTGATGATTTTGTAAAAGAAAGGGAGAGAGAATATTCTATGTGTTCCTCAGAGACCAGCCCCGGCTTCCCTGAAATGACATAGACACTTCTGATGAAGGGTCCCCTAGTAGAGCAGCTGGTGCCGGGCGTCCTCCAAGGCAGCCTGGGAGCGCGCTGAATGGCACTGAGCTAGTCCGGGCTGAGCTCGCTTCCCTCCCAGTCCCGTGCTACCTACCACGGGACCACAGGGCCCTGCCGGTCGTACCTGGTCTTGCAGAGACAACGTGGAGAAGGCGGGCACGCTCTTGGCCCACTTGATGCTCATGAAGAGCAGCCGGGCCGCCGACTCACACACAGACTCGGTGGCCACTTCGTAAAGATACATCGGGGTTCCGTTCACTTCATGGGGGTACTGCGAAGGGAAGACAGAGTGACGCTTTGAAAGTGAGGAACACCACAGCTTGGCCGAAAGAGCCGGCCTCTTCATTGTCTAATTAAAACGAGGAGGACCGGGAGGGGAACCAGGAGGAGTTAAGGAAACTTGGACACTCCGCTTCAAAGTGCGCAGGTGCCAGAGGTGGGTCAAAAGCGAACCCAAGTTTTTCTGAGTTTGGGAATCAATCCCCAGGGGGAAAGAAGGCCCACTCCCACTCCCTGGAGGCCTTTCTCCCTTTTCTTTCCCTACAGCAAATGGTTCTTGGGCTGAGCTAGGCCTGGATCCCAATTTAGACAAGAGCTGCTTGCATTTGTGTAAATAAAAATAGATGTGAAAAAAGTATAAATTAATAGGCATCCCAAACACAAATATGCATACGAGTATTTTTAGAAAGGATTAGTATATTATGGAAATATTTCAATTAGACATCTTAATCATTCACAGAACATTCCCATTCATAACTGACAACATATTCATAACACTACTTCCCCGAGCTTATTATACACATCAAGGGTAGGAAAGCAATATTCAACATTGCATGTGTGTGCGTGTGCCCAGGTGTTTGGCTTTCCTGCAGGGGGTGGGAGGGCTGGGGGCTGCAGCTGGCCCTGCTCTGGGGGGCTGGGGGAGGAGATCTTAGCTGGAGTCACAAAGGGTAGTCCCTAGGTGGCAGCCTTACCAGATGGTTCAGCCAGTGTCTCTGCTAGGAGCCCCGTGGCTCTGAAGTGAAGGAAAGGAGTGGGGACAAGGAGGCTGATTCCAAAGCCTGTGCTAGCAACAGGTGTCAGCTCCACGGGTGGGGATGTGATGCTTGGGGTTAGGCCATCACTTGCCACCGGACACACCAGCATCCCATCTCCTACTGCTGACTCCTGAGTTCTTCCTCAAGTCCACGCTGCTCCACTTCCTATCCAGCTCCCTGCGAATGTGTCTGGGAACTCAGCCAAGCATGGTCCAAGTGGTTTGGGTCCAGGCCACTAGTGTGGGAGACCAAGAAAGAGTTCCTGACTCCTGGCTTTTGGTCTGGCCCAGTCTGGGATGTTGCAGATATTTGGGGAGTGAACTAGTAGATGGAGGTGAAATCAGACACTCCCTCTTTTTCTGTCATTCTGCCTTATGAACTGGAAAAAAATCGTATTTAAGAAAAAAAGGGGGCGTGGTAGGGAGGGGAGGAAACACAGCAACGCTTTTCCCAAACAGTGGAACCAGGAGATCTGCAACCCTGTAACTCTTCTCTTCCCCGCCTCCAGGAACACCTACCGCCTTTTTCTGGGTTTATGTAGGACCCAACCCACCACCTGGCACCAATGAATGTTCCCCAAAGCTGCAGGCTCCACAGCAAATTCACTGAACGAGAACGTCACGGGGAGTGCACACTGGCAGCTGCTCTGAGAAGTCCCCACCCTTCGCCAGGCGCTCCGTGCACGAAGTTAGGAATTGTGGGGTGAGGGCCGGGGTTGGGGGTGAGGCTGCCCGCCTGACCTGAACGTCGTCCCGGGGCACTGGGTGCGTGCCTCTCCCCACCCCCACGCTCCGCCTCGGCAAGACCACTGACCTTGGGCGTGGGCTGAGCCAGGCTCACGAGGGTTTGTCGCTCCGGCGTGGCGGCCACCGCGGCCAGCTCCAGGCCGTGGGGCTCGAGCTGGGTGACGGCGGTGAAGAAGGCAGGCGCCGGCAGCGCGGCCGAGGGGAAGTGCGCGGCCGCCCCGTTCTCCTCTTTGTGCCCGCGAAAGTAGAGGGCCACTTGCTTGCGGATGGTGGACGTCCGGGGCCCGCGCTCATGCTGCACGGCTGCGGAGACACAAGGACGCACGTGCGGCTCTGATCGGAGACGCCGAGCAGGTGGAAGGACCCTGCTCCGAAACCAGCCCCTTCGGGACGGGCAAGGTCACTCAAAGGGAGATGAGAGGAAAGGAAAGGAGACGCGAAGGCGGAAGGCGCCCCGAAATGGCCCACCCCACAAGCCCCGTGGGCTAGGAAGCAGAGGCGCGGTGTCCCAGGTGCTAGCAGCGTGGCCGGGCTTCACAGCGCCCTAGGTGCCTTCTCTGTGAGTTCGGATCTCCTCCCACCCAGGGACGGTTGGGGACGCCACAGACCCCACCAGGCCTGCGGAACGTCGAGCACAGCTAGGCACACGCATTTTCCCAGCTCGCTCAGGATTCAAGGTCTCTAATTTGCAATGTTACAGCGATTCCTTCCCCCCCCCCCAAAAAAAATTATTGGCTCCTTTATTCTGAAGGCGCCAGAAGGAAGAGAGAGAGAGAGAGAGAGAGAGAGAGAGAGAGAGAGAGAGAGAGAGAGAAAGCCGAGCCCCGGGGACGCGGGGAATGGGACCAGAGAGACAGCATGTCTTGGAGAGTGCTGGAGGAAGGCAGGGGAGATGTGACAATTACTACCAGCAGTTTAAACAAACAAATTAATTCAGGGCAATCTTCCGCCCGCCGAGCTTGACAACTTGTCAATACACAGTGCAACAGGTTGGACGCTCGCTCCTGCTTCCTGCGCTTCGGAGGACAGAGCTCGGCCTGGTCGCCGCGCAGCCTTCCCGGGCTGTCTTCTAAGCTCGAGTAGCGGTCGCGGCTGCCACCGCCGCCTGCGGGCTGCACTCTGCCCTCCCACCCAGAATCTCCGTCCCCCAGCCTGGGGCGCCCTCGCCAGGCCACGACGGGGACGCAGCTGGACTGCATCCTGGTCACCACGTTCGGGCTTGCGCCCCTTGAAGATCTCTGCGGGAGCTGGGTATCCCACGCACCCCTTCGGCGTCCGGTGGCCCCTCCAGCCCCCTTTCTGTCTTTCCAAATCGGCTTACTGGGCGCACCGACGTGGGCATCTAGGTGCATTCGCCAACGAGGGCTCGAAAACCCCGCACTTTCGAGCCTGTGCCCTCTCTCCTCCTATACACCGTGGTGCCTTAGTGCCCATCATCCACTTCTCTGGAGACTCTCCAAGACTGCCTAGCCCGCGGAAGGCTAGCAGGCTTCGAAGGAGGCCACGAAAGGCTGCAGCCAGCGAGGAGAGCGAGTTCAGATGAGAGACAGGACATGCTCAGGGTCCCCAGCAAGGGTCCTCCTGTCTGAGCTGGTGGGGGTGGCAGGCATGAAGCTCGCTCACCGCGGGTACCTGCCGAGGGTCGTGGAGGTGACTTGCGGCACCCGAGGCCCGTCCCCAGCGTCTGGAAAGACTTGGCTGTGGCGAGATGATTTCCATGCACAGGAATGTCGTGTATTTTCTGTACATCTAATTTACTTACTACTCAATCAACATTACGAGAAGAAAGAAATGCACTGATTACCATCTTTGTTCATGTTGACTTCCAAACACTTCTTCAGGCGACACGCCCTGCACTGGTTTCTGTGTGTCTTGTCCACCGGGCAGCCTCCCTGGAACAGAGCGCGAGCGTTCAGAAGTTCCCAAGGGGTTTTAAACAGGAACCAGGGGCGGCAGCAACCCGAGCAGGGGGAAAGGGCGTGGGGGCAGTCCCTGGGTCGGATCGGGTCGGGCCCAGTCGGGCTGCGGGTCGCTGGAGCTGTGCGCCCCGGCCTGCGCACCGCGAGAGCTTTGGGCCAGGGTTGGGGGGCGGGGCGGCGGGTGAATCGGGGTACAATGGGCCGGGACACACCCCCTAGGCTTTTTAAAGCGGGCAGCCTTCGACCCCAAGGAATCCGAGGAGGAGGCAAAATTCTCCTCCAAGTAACCAAACGCACGGTTTGCCAGACCCCGCTGCCCGGAGGCGAATCACTAGAGGAACGTCTCCTCGGCAAGATGCAGAATGGTGGGGCGGGGACCAGGGTGGGGTGTTCAGGACCCAAGACAGCGACCCGGCCGGGAGCCGCGGCCTCTGAACCCGGCTGGGAGCGGACTGGCTGTCAGGAGCCAAGCCTCGACCTCTTCTCCCACATCACCACTCCCCGCTCCCTGCTCCGTTCTGTCAAGTCTTGGGTGTACCCCCTGCTGTTACTTTTTGGGCGAGTCCTATCCCCCACCACACACACACACTTTTTTCCCCTGTCAAGTCACTCTATCCAGTGGAAATCACTCACTTCTCGTTTTGTATTTGGGTGGAGGGAAGCATCCTTCGCGCCCCTCCATCTCCCCCACACACTGGAAGGCAAAGCAGAGCGGCCTGAGGGGGGAGGCAGGTTTGCCCTGGTAGGGTGGGAACTGAGGGAAGCACCCAGGATTTGGGCAGCTCTGGAAAGGCCCACTGCGCCAACGTTCCCAAGACCTGACACCTGGGGACCGCAACAGAAAAGTTGGTGATGGATGAGAAAGATGGTTAGCACGAGAAAACAAATGCTTTACCTGGGACAGTCTCATGGGGTGGGCGGGTGTGTTGGCCATTGAAAGAGGTCATCTACAGACAAAATGTCATCCTGTATTCAGTGCCAGGTGTCTTGTCTAAGGGCACACACACAGGCCAACGGTCAGGTGTGGGAAGGTGTGTCTGCGGATCTTGTTCATAGAAAACACCCAACACGTTCAGTGCAGCCAGGCATTTGTGTAAGTTACTGCTGCTACACATGTGGTGCAGGGTAAGAGAATCCAATACGGGTTTTTAAAATTTTGATTCATAATCTCCAAAAGTCACAGACGCTGATGTGCAAGTGAGTACACTTCACCCTTGAGGGATGCCTTGGGGAACGGATGACATACTAGAATTCCACTTTAATGTCCAAGTTAAAATGTGTTAATTTTCTTCAGAAAAAGGTGGGGCAAAAGTTTCTAACAATCCAAGTATCTTTATTACTGTTTGTAAAAGATGGGCTTAATATGTACCTAGTCTCAGATTCAGAGAAAGTAAATCATTTTCGTTCCTGAGAGCGTTCTTGAGGACAATTTACTGGCTGCAAGAACTTGGTGTTAAATGGAATCTGGGTCTGTCCTCAACCAATATCTTCTACCAAACATGCAAATACAAAATGGGAACCTTCCAATCAGATCAAGCACATCTAAATATCTAGAGCCTAAGGGAAAGGAGAATGCCTCTCTCATGTCCATTTATCTTCTATGCAAAGATAGACTCCACCAGCTTGGAGGAGTCTATCATTGCTCCCTCGCCACGTGCTTGCGCTGATGGCAATACGTTTGCCTTAATAGCTGTCTCCTTTTTTAAGGGCAAGCATAAGATCCAAAATTTTGATTCTCAGATTTTTGTGTACTGCATGGAAGTAGGATGTAGTTAGTCCCCACAGACACCTGATCAAACCTAACAGTCCACATCAATCCCATAGACAGCTACAGGGAGGCATTCCTATGAATGGATGGTGTGCTGTGTCCCTGGGGTGAAGCAAAAGGATGCTGATTTGAGCAGCTACCCAATTTGACAGGTGACAGGGCTGGAAACTGCAAACTAATGGATCCATACACTAACGTCTTCTTGTTTCTGCTGCTAAGGCAGAGCTCTCCGAATCAATCAAGCATGAAGGGGCTTCAGGAAAGCATACCAGAACAACCCACCAGCCGCAGACCATGAGTGGACATATGTACATCATTTACATTCAGGATGAAAATGTTTTACCCTGTGGTTGCCAAAAATAACCATTCCTGACTAAGGCATTCTCTGGGATCTTCCCAGGAGTGCAGCTGGTCATCTCCTGGTTCTGGATCCATCTATCTGACTAAGGGAAAAGAAAAGCCTGGAGCCAGAGTTTGGTCCCCAAGGTTGAGCTGAGCCTCTGAGTGGGAAATTGGCTCTCCCAGCTTCTTCTAGAAGCTTTGGCTTTCTTTTTACCCATGCCCAGACTCCTCCATGTCTTTGAGACTGATCTACCTGCTCAAGACAAAATTGAGCCAACCAGAATCAACAGACCAACAGAAAAGCTTCAAGGAGCTACAGCTGCACCTTCCCTTTCAGCTTGTCCTGCGTGGACAAGTCCCCACCCGCGTGCGAGGCTGCCCATTTCTGGAAGCTGTGAGGGCACAGTCCCATCCGCAGAGCACCACAGCTGTCTTCCGTGGATTACTAGAGTGGTGAACTCGCCTCAGATGCCAGAAATACCTTTACTTTACACCCCAGGCAGTGGTGGGGCACGTAAGCTGAAATGGGAGTCAGAGGACAAGCAGAAAACATCCCTTCTCCTACTGGCCACTTGTGGTTTAGACGCCAAAGTTTTCCAGGTGTGGACCTTATCTAAGGTCAAGTTCAGTCCAATGATGGAGAAAAAAAAAATATGGAGATGTTGGATTTCAGATTTCCTCCTATTCACCTGCCTGGAATGACCTTAGCTCATCTGTCCAGAAGCCAAGGGTCTCTGAGATGAGGTTGGCAGGGGGAAGCAGGAGGGAGAGGTCAGAGCCCCAGGTCTTGCCAGAGGCACGGGAAAATCAGAGGTGGCCTTGGCACGCACGGAGGAGGGGGCGGCAGCGGAGCGTCTCGGGCAGGGAACGCCCCTGGAGCGCTGGCGCAGGTACCTGATTTCCAGATTTGCAGACATACGTCCTGTTCCTTCGGATACTCCTTTTGAAAAACCCCGAGCAGCCGTCGCAGGCGTAGACGCCGTAGTGCTTGCCCGAACTGCGGTCGCCGCACACTTTGCAGGGGATGTCTAAAATGCGGCCTGAAATCGCAAGGAAGGGGGAAGGGGAGAAGAGGGTGGGAGGAAGGGGCGAGAGGAGGGCAGAGGAACGGGAGGAAAGAGGACAGGGGGAGAAAGACGCTAGGCAATCTGACCTCTGAAAGGATTAGCACCGAAGCTGCGGTAAAAGCAAATAATGAAGTGATTTTATAGCCAAACTTTTTTCCCTTGAGCAAGTGTCAGTTTCCTACAATGAGCATTATTCATGCACCGCTACGTGTATTTGGGTCTCGTCTAATCGCCGAGACCCATTTTGGAATCAAAGATTACAGCAGGGCCGGGGAGGCAACACGGCCCAGCCCGCTGCCTTTCTGCTCCCCGGCCAAGTCTGGCTGCCTCCTTTCCTCCCTCCCTTCCACCCTCCCTCCTTTCCTGGGCTCTCGCATTTAACAGAGCAAAGTTGTTAGCGCGCGGAGACAAACTTGAAATGCAAAAGGGAAAAGAAGAAAAACAAACAAGGCTGGAACCGGGGATGGCAGCTGGAAGGCAATCGAGTTCTCTCCGAGCTTTGCCGGGCGGTTGTTATTATTAGGATGATTATTGTGATGCTAATACTCAGATTATTAATGATAATCAGGGTGATGGTAATTGTCTAACTTTCTCTTTACCTATTACGAAGAATGCTGCGTGGATCGCTGGGGGAGAAATCATTTTTTTTAGGGGGGGGGATGTCTCTGCAGAGCAGGGATCGGACTGGACAAGGGAGAGGACAGCGAGGCGAGTGGCAGATTCCCAGAGAGCTCGGGTGGACCGGAGCCGGCGCCCCTGCACCCCTAACGTTTCCCCCTAACGACCAGCCTATACAGCTTGGTCCTCAAGGGTCTTTCCGGGTTTCCCGTCGCTTTTAGAGAATCTAACTGATCCGTCTAGACCCCAAGGCTCCAGGCAACTTTGCCTGGACTCCCCCGCTTGACCGCCCCCCCTCCCCCACCAGCCTGCGTTTGGCCAGGGACCCCAGGCCGAGCATCAGGACAGGGTCGCCAGAGAAACGCATCCCAGGAATCTCGCTTTCTTTCTCAAGTTCAGGAATCTTACAACTGCCTAAAGCGTTCCTGGGGACCTGGAAATTCCTTCCTCCCGCAAAACCAAAGCGTTAACACCTTTTAAAAAAATCTTTTTTAAAAGCAAGAGAGGACTTGGAACTACTCGAATTTCCCAGGGCTATCTGTCCCAGAGCCTGCAATTTGGGTCTGGCCCAACTCAAGGCTTGAGTGTTGCGGATCTAGGTGGGGAGAGGCTGGAGCCTCAGGGTCTGGACTTGGAGGGGGAGCCGAGGCGGAGGCGGGAACCCGCTCCGGGCTGCAGGCCTCAGGTGGGGGGCGGGGGGACCGTGGGTGGAGGAGGGGTTGGGACCGGGCGGGAGGGTGGGGGGCGCTCGGTAACGACCAGGCTCGGCCCGGGTAATTACAACCCTGCCGCAGCACCTGCCTATAGAGCCACCAGTGACCCGTCAAAAAGAGTAGCATGGGAATCCGGACGACCACAAAGGCCGGCGGGGGAGGCGCGCGGCGCGGCCGCCACCAACTCGGCGCCCCCTCTCCCCCCACCATCCCTGCCGCCCCGCGGTGCGGGAGAGGGGAGGTTGTGGCTGGCAGAGGAAGAGACTGAGGAGGCCGTCCCCTTCTGCCCGCGAGGCCGCTGCGGGGCTCGTCCAGCACCCCCGCGGAGCCTGTCACCGCGCCCGCAGAGCTACTCCGGGTGGCCCGGGAAGTTGCCGGCTGCTGGGCTCCTGCCGCAGCGAGGAACCCGGGAGGGTTTAGCCCACTTGGGCTGTGGCCGCTGGGGTCCGAATCTGGGCCTCAACAACAACTTGTCGTCTCAGTTGGTCCCCTTCAAGGCGAGAAGAACGGATGGGAGGGAGGAGTAGTGGCCGGGGTCCCTTCTTCCACACCCTCGCATCCCAATGGGACCCGAGGCCAAGGACACATTTGCTGCAGAGCCCAGCGTGGGTAGGTGTCTCCTCCACTGGCTTCCGGGGACCAGACCACCGCAGGTCACCCCCACTGCCCCTCGGATAGCCTCTACCTCGAGGAAGCCCCGGAGCCCCCCAGCACCCACCACGTTGGAGGTCGAGTGGAGACAGCCGGGCGGGGCGCGGCCCGGGCGGGGCGGGCGGGGATGGGGTGCGGGGTAGCGGTGGGTGGGAAGACGCGAACATTCCAAGACCGTGCCAGCGTGGGTCTCTGACTCCGCCACCCAGCCACGCTGAGGTGACTTAGGGTTACGAGACAAGCTGATTGACCCTGCTCGCAGTTAGCAAGCCGAGCGAGCACCGCGAGGGGAGGCGAGCCGGAGTCCCCCTCCCTCAACTCTAGGCTGCAAAACCGTTCTTAACTTCCCTCGCCAGGGGGTACCCTCGGGGCTTTTTGTGTGTCATAATTGCCTAAAGATATATGGCAGCTTCGATTACTGTAATTACCATCAGAGGCTGTTGAAAGAAGTTAGTCCGGACTGCGGGGGTGACTGGCCAGGGTCTCGTTACCACCCAGGAAGGGCTCTGGATGACAGGGCCCTGCCCTCCAGCCTCTCCAAGCCCAGCCAAGCGGGAGACAGGGAGACCTCACGGACCTGCCCCGGGACCACTGACCCAGCACGGGGCGCACCAAGCTGCTAGCCTCCCGGGGCCGCGATTCCGGCCCCGCTGCTGCCACGGGTCTGCAAAGCGCACCGCAGGCGGCGCGGCTGTCCGGTGCGCCCCAGCAAGCCCAGCCGCGGCGGCAGGACTGGTGCCGGGCGCTGGAGCCTTCCGAGGCCGCCTCCAGGCTCTCGGGGGTAGTGGAAAGGCTCTCAAGTTTCTCCCTTGCGTGCAGCGCTGGACTTTCGGCTCTTCAGACAATCCAAAGGGTGTACCAGCCTCCCAGCGCGCAGCGCCCTCGGCGCGCTCTTTCCCTCGCCTTCCCCTCCTCACCTTTCCCTCACCCCGGGCGTTCGACGCCCAGCAGCTCCGCACCGCAAGGGAGAGGAAAACCCCGAGTTTCCCGCTCGCAAGGCCCGGGGCGACCGAGGCGGGAGGCCTGGCAAGGCCTGGAATGGTTTTCAGGGCTCGCGACGGAGAGATCTGGAAGGGCACCCGGAAGAGACTTCCTTCGTTCTGCGTCTTCCGAAAGAAGCACGCTCGTGCCGGGAAGGCGGGCGACCGAGAGCGAGAGCTCCCGGCTTCCCAGAGACCCAATGGGCAGAGCGCCGGGGTAGGCCCGAGGCGGGCGGGAAAGGCCAGTCCCGCCGAAGGAGGGGTGTCCTCTCTGAACACGGCCTTTCTGTCCTCCTCGCTCCCTAGTTCTCAGCATCCTTTCTTCCTTTTCGTTCACGTTCATTTTTTTTTTTTTGCCCTGTTCCTTTTTTTTGGTTTCCCTTCTTTGCCCCCTATCACCACCGAAGCACGCAAACCAAAACAAACGGACCAAGTGAAAACAACCCACTTCTTGGCGGAGGGAACAGGGGGAGGTGGGAATGGCATCCCACTTAGGAAGCGAAACTTCATTATCAGTCTTCAGAAGTACCGTGGACGTTCTCAACTTTTCAAAGCCCCGGGGGACAATAAGGACGAGTGCGGGGGAGGGAGCGGGCAGGAATGCACCGAGCGCCAAAAAATAAAAATTTAAAAAGCGACTGGCAAACTTCACCCGCTGCGTGGGCACTGGCTGTCTCCCCCTCTCCCCCACACACCCTCCGGTCTCGGACCCTGGAACCCGGAAGGCGGGAACTGGGACGCCCCGGGGAGACCCCCAGCAAGCCAGCCAGCACCACGGCCCGGCCGGCCCCAGGCACAGGCTCAGACCGGCCTGTCCTCCTGGGGTCCCCCCGCACACGCTGCCTCGGCGCCCGGGAGCTGGCTAGCAGGCAGTGCACCAGCCCGCCGGGGCTTCAGGAAGTTGCCGGAAGGCGAGAAGCCCGCCGAGGCAGCCCGCAGGCCGCGCACTCCCGCCTCCACAGTGCCTCCAGTCGTTTGGGATTAGGGATTTGCGCCTGTCTTTTGCTCCAGTTGGTTCGTCATACTTTAAATTCTCCAGTTATGACCTACGCGGATTTAGGATTAAAGAAAAATGTGACTTTTCAATGGGCTCTGCTTCCCACTTTGCAGGATTAGTGGGGGCGACTAGAAACGGGGTGCGCGGCATTCCATTCGCAATCCGCTTTGCACGGAGTTGCTGTTGAGCGCTGCGTGGAGATCGCAGAGTTTCTGGAGCGAATGTATTATTGTGCAGCCCTCCGGGGAGTTGCGGCCCAGTTCCCGCCCCTGTCGCACCCTTCCCACCCACCCCTACCTGGCTGCTGGATGGGGGGCAAACACGCCGGACTGGGTGGGCGATTGTACGGGTCACAACCTTCCAATCTCCATCCCCCCCCCCCCCCACACACACACCAGAGGCCAGGAGAAAAATCAGGCAATTCCGAGGCAACGAGATTGCTCTCCGCAAACTACCAAACGCTCCAACTCTCTCTGCGGGGGACCAGCAGGGCCCAGGGACACACGCCAGCCCCTGGAGTCCCCTCCATGGGGCAAGGGTGTTGCTCCAAGAGGATGCGTGGGGGCGGGGGGCGGCAGAACCTCCCCGCTTCCCCGCCCGCCCAGGCTGCGCGCCAAAGCCCCGCGGCGGCCCCCAGAGGTACCCACTTGTTGATCCGGCCGGCTTGCTCATGCTGGCGGTCCCGGGGCGGAGTGGTTGGTGGGCGCTGCCCGAGTCCCGGCCGGCAGCGCCCGCCTCGCCGCCGGGCGCCGCAGCTCTCCAGCCGCCGGGCTCCAGCCTGCGGGGCTCCCGAGCCGGACAGGTGGGTGGCGGTGGCGCGCTGCGCAGCTCCCCGAGCTCTCAGAATTCGTTCCACGGTGGAAATCGAAGCATCTTTAAATTTCTTCCCGGCTCTAGCAAAAACCGCAGCTGCTGGAGTTGCTGCTGCAGTTGGCTGCTGCTGGATATGGACACACGCATGGACAGACAGATGGAGAGGGACAGGCAGACGGATCGGAGCAGAAGGGAGGAAGACAGCCGGAGGAGTAGCGAAGGGCAGAGGGATGAAGACAGGAAAACGGCCTTTCTAGGGGGCGGCAAGGGCGCAAGCCCTCTCTCTCCTCATCCCGGCCACTCAGTCTTCGGTCTCGAGCGCTGCTACAGAGGCGTGCAGAGTGGGCAGGTCTCCGCAGCCCGGTGCTCTTCCACGCAAGACAGGAGACACGGCTGGGGTCTCAAAGGCTGCTGCTGGGCTCGGCGTCGCCGGACCCCCGCGCCGGCTGGGAGAGCCGGAACGTAGGGTCACCCTGGGAGGGAAGCGGCGGCCGGCTCCCGGCTTCCGAGCAGAGCCGCGCAGGCAGCGGCCAAGGGTCCCCGAAGTTCATCAGCCCGTGACTTTGTGCCTGTCGCTGCGGGCTGGGTCCCCCTGTAATATCTCCAGAAGCGCCCTGACAGGCAGCCGCGGGGAGGGGAATAGGGCGTCCCTGGCCCACTTAGCTTTTCCCCCAACTCCTGGCGGGGTCTGACGTCAGCCATGTGCGGGGAGGAGATGGGAAGAGGGAGGGGGTTAAATGCTAATGATATTAATGAACCTCCAAGCGGCTCGCGAAGAAAATGCAGGCGCGCTCAGAGCTGACGAGTTGAAGAGTGAATAAGGGAGCGCGCGGCTCTGTGCAGGCGCGGCGACGAGGACGGCGCGCTCTTGTAATAAAAAAAAATGAATTATTAGATTTCGTGGCAAGGGAGGAGGGGAGGGGGTGACGGGGTTTCCTCCGAACGCTTCCCCTTCCGCTCACAGAGTGCCAGGCATACAGACAGTGCTCCTGGAAGCCAAGGGGCGGCTGTGTGTTTGCGTGTGATTGTGCACGCCGAACGTGGTGGCCATGTGAGTTGGTTCATTTCTTGGTCCCGTGCCCCTTCCGTTGGTTAAAACTTGAACTGGCCCGAGGTGAGTAATTTATTTATTTTGCAACTGTGCTGAAGCGACTCAGAGCTGAGGACGCCGTGCGTGGACTTGGGGCCTCGGGGGACGGTTCTCCCGGAGGCCCTGCGCGGCCGTGGAGCTGGGCACGAGCCTCGCAGAGGGCGGCGCCAGCTGCCCCCCACGCGAAAACGGGCCCACCCGGAGCAGGGCGACGCCTCCGTGACCGCCACCGGAGTGGCTGGAAAGCAAGGACCAGCTCTCCCCCCGCGCTCGGCTTGACCTGCTCTCACGACGCCGGCGCAGGGTTTCTGGAGGGCCTCCTCCGTCTGCGCCCTGCCCGGCTAGCAGTTCCGCGAAGTCTAGAGCCCTCTCGCGCTCCGGGTGGAGCGCACGGCCGAGGGAGCTATGCTCCCCATCTCTAAGAGATTCTGTTCTAGCTCCGTGCCGCTTGAACTTGTCGAACTCGCGCTGGTCGGTCGTTGGGGGCGTGGTCCCGGCCAGAGGTCAGAGGTCACACCTCCCGCCCTCTGCGAGGGTCGTCCTAGGAAAGGAATGATGTGGGGGGACGGGGGATTGTGCGCGGCTCAGTGCGCCCCACAATTCCTCCGGACTCCGAGTCAGCTCGGATTTCCGAACCCAGTTGCGACTTGTGCAAGTGCTGGCGTCTTCCCAGTCCTGGGCGGGCGCTGGCCATCCTCCGCGCCCGCTGCCCCGCGGGGTGCTCGGGCCGCCGGCTGCAGCACGTGATCGCAACTTTTCGCCGGCGTCGATTTTGCCCGGAGCAAAAGCCTGCTTCTTCGCCGGCTGCTTAGCCGCCAAGGCGCGGTGCTACAAGTGCCACATTCCCTCGATTTGGGGGGGAGAGGAAGCCAGCCGATTATCTCCTTCCACCCACAAGTAACTCCTCCCCGCCAATTTTTCGAATTGGATTTAGGACCTTCTGGGACAAATCCGTAGCCTGGATTTTTTTTTTTTCTTCTAGGTGACAGGCAAGTTGGGCAGAACCCGGCATGTAGCACTAAGTTGAATTCAGAGCCCGCAGGAGGAAAGGGCATCCAGGAGGGCTTGACGAAGAACAATTAAGTTGCCAGGTTCCATTCTGGATGCTCGGGTCCTGGACTCCCGCCAGAAACGCACTTGCCGCTGCGGTGACCGCCACACCACGAAGCGGTCGCTAAAGGGGGCGCTTGGTGAAGGACAAAGAACTTGGAGAATCGCACTAATTGATCTCGGGCAAAGATGTGGGGCGTGGTGGGGGCACTAGACCCTGGCCGGCCACTTGGGCGGGCTGTATAGGGCGCGAGTGAGGAGTTGGGAACCCTTGGCAAGAAGGAGAACAAGGAGCTTCTTTGCGCGATGGTTTTGGGGGTAGGAGGGCGAGAGATAGATTTCTCCCTCCTCTCTTACACTCTCTCCAGCCAGGCTGGCTCCTCGGCAGGGCACCAAAACTTCTGGAAAATAACTGTCGACGCTCCCCTAAATTTCCGCAAAATTAAAACGGGAACTGGTCCCTCTTTCTCCCTCCTTCTCCCTCTTTCTCCGATTCTCAAGTGCATAAGCCAGCTTGGTGGCCAAGACCTCGGGCTTTACACACACACACACACACACACACACACACTCCACACACACTGCACACACACACACACTGCACGCCCCATTCAACCCTGGCAACAGGCAACAACAGGCGGTGGGTGCTGCTGGTACAGCACACACACACACAATATGCGTCCTGCGTTCTGAGCTCCGGCTGTAATTATCGCGGCATTTTGCATAATTCACAATGCAATTCTGAAATCATCATGATGACTTTCTGGCACAATTCGTTTTGGTGGTAACTGCAACCATGAACGCCAGAGGAGGCAGGAAGTATTGGGGGCCCAGCTAGTCAGGCCAGGTCCTCAGGAAAGCACGGAGTCCAGTACCCGCCTGCCCTTAACCCCCCTCACGTGAAGTGAAGCTGTTGCAGGCCACGAAGAGACCTTGGGACACTTTGGGCTCCTGTGAAAGCAGCTCCAAGATGTGACTTTTCCTCTCCCAGCCACTGGCCTCTGCACACCTCCTGCCTCACTGCAGATTGTACAGGTGTTGGCAGCTGCTGAAAGAGGAGGAGGAGGCAGGAGGGAGGGCCGGGACCGCTAACAACTGAAAGCTAAGAGATAGGATTCAGGCCCTAGTTCCACATAGCTGTGCAACGTACAGTAAATGACTAGACCTGTCTGAGCTTCAGATGACTGTCTGTAGGACTGTTTCCTTGTGCAACTTTAGCTTGGAAACACTCACCAACACACACACACACACACACACACACACACACACACACACACCTTTTTGACAGAGGCAAGGCATGAAGTTACAGGGAGGAAAGCTGCCTGAGCAGATGTAAACACAGCCCCTTATCTCCTCTCTAATGAAGGATAGAGCTCAACGAATACTAAAGCCTACTGCACTGGGAAGGCATCTTTCATCCAAGTGTGTGTACATTTTAGTCTCAGAGATAGACCACAAGAAGGACTGTGGATTAAGGGGTCGCTGTGTCTGTCCCAACAGTCCACCGCATCTATTCAATGCTGAGCACTCCCTGCATTCAGAGCCTGAGGTAACTAAGACAGGCTCCCTTTCTGGAAACATCTACAGGGGAAACAGATGCATAAAAGGTGATCTGTTTTATATTGGAGGCAGGTGTGGGGTGGGAGGTGAAGAGTACAGGACCTGCTGTGATGTCAGAGAATGCCTGGAGTATTTTGGGAATTTGATGCCTCTGATAACTGGCTGGTATGACAGCTCCTTCTGTGAACGTCCCTGTTTGCCATCACTTTGAGAAAGGAGTCCTGGCCACTAGGTTGTATGAGGTGGGGTCCAAAGCGACCCTCCAAGCCTCAGGCTAACCAAGTTTCATGGCACCTCTGCCAGACCCTTACTTCTCTAAACAAAAACAATGCTGTTCTTCCCGTTACCTGGCCCTGTTCCTTCTCCAAAATGAAACACAGCTAAGGAGAAAGGAAAGCTGGCTCCATCAGCAGGATAAGCTGGCATGGGACAGAGATCTCCCCCCAGTCCTCAAATCAGTGATCAGCACCATTCCACCTCTAGCGATTCATTCCTTTTAAAATGTTTTTGCCCTCCAACCCGGACAAGCAAGAGTTAAGCTATACTCAGACCCTGGTAAGGGCTGTGAAACCCTGGAGGTTGAGCTTGGCTGACTGGTGAGCTGCAGTTTCCAAACGACATCCTGATGTAGGTTTTGCTTTATTAAGAAAGAATGGACTTTCCTTGCATTTCCAAGACATGATTCAGCCTTACCATTGGCCCGGTGGCCCGATGGATGGGGATGGGGTAGGAAGGTGCCAATGCTTAGCAAAACCTTGCAAGGGACAACAGGAGAGCAGCAGGCTTGCCAGGCTTGCCCCTGCTGTGGCTCTCTCCTGAGCTGGCCTCTAACAACTCAGAAAGAATCTGCGCTGCTCCCCCCCACACCCCACCAAGGTGCTCTCTGAGCCAGCAGGTGTTTGTGGCTGTTTCCTTGTCACTTTCCAGAACTGTGCTGCCAGGTGCTTTGCTCTGTGCTAGTGGGAAGAAGATGAGGAGCAGAAACAGCAGACAGTGACAGCAGCAAGTTGATGCCACTCTGGGTTTCCCAGTCCTGTCTCTGCAGCTCCTCATGCCCTCCTCCTGTGTGGCAGAGGAGACTCATTTTTAGAGCTGGGCTGGGAGCTAGAGGTGGCAGTTTCATCACACTGTGGCATCCTGCTAGCCCCTCCCACCTGGCACCTGGTGGTCCTTGGCCCACAGCGAACGAGTAAAGCTGACCTTTGGAAGTCGCCATGAAATCCTCTATGTGTGTATATCTATCATCTATCTGTCATTTATCTATTTGGTTGTTCCTGTTGCCGAGCCTGAGGCAATGGACACAGAAGGGGGTGGGGGCAACTTCCCCAACCAGCAGAAGCAATACAGGTGGAATGACAGAGTAACTCCCCTCCAGGTGGGAAGGGTCACCCGCCTCCCCAGTAGCTCCTTTCCTGCGGATTCTGCAATCTGTCATGGTTCCCATCTAGCCCAGAGCCTCAGAGTACACCCAGAGCCCTCATCT